ACGGGTGTTAAATGACGTATCTAGTGAAACTGCAAGCAAGAGCTGTTATCCTACTTCAGCTCATTTGAAGCCTGTAGTGGCTCTGTAGGGAGATGGTATTAAGACAGTGAGATAAAGAGTTGACAGGAGGTTGATGGGTGGAAAGCTAGAAGTGTAACAGTTGGAAGAATTGAGCATATAGATGTTAGCAGATGGGAGGGGCGAGGTGAGGGATGGTTAGAAGAGGCGTTCGTAAAGGGAAATAAAGGACGGGATCACCATAGCCTGTGCTACTTGGAACTTGTTCCGAGTAGCTGAATCTATAACAACAACAGGCAATAAAGGTAGAGTCAGGGGGGGGTGGCAGAGGAAGGGAAGATGAGGTTGGCATACGAGAAATAATCTAGCCTCTCCCTGCAAAGCTTAAGAAATGGAGGGGGGAGGATTAACAGGAAATTGTAATTGAAATAAGTTTATTGAGGAAAATACACACAAAGGGATGAGGTAGCTTCAAGTTATTCTCACCCCGTTCAGTACAACGTGTTCATACATATATAGACACACATCACAAACAATAAACATATTACCGAACATTCTGAGTGATAAACATATACATTTCTTCCTTTACACATGTAGTATGTTACCAGACGTACACACAAATACTATTATGACTAGGTATATAGACAATTTACAATAGACATCCAGACAATTCAACAAAATGTCACATTCTTGGTGTAAAATTCTCATATCTCTCCAGAATATCATCAATTTTTCCGTTGTGACACATCCAGGCTATTTGTTCAAGAACAGTCCTTATCTCAGTGTTTCTATATACATTAATCAACGGGACAGTTAAGAACATAATGGGTGTGAGACCTTAACATAGCACATAGTTTACACTTGGTGTCATTACCATTGTGTCACAACGGAAAGGTTGATGATATTCTGGAGAGATATGAGAATTTTACACCAAGATTGTGACATTTTGTTGAATTGTCTGAATGTCTATCCATGTGATTAACAGGAAGTGCTGGGGAATGGCAGGTAAGTTGTTGGCAGCGTCTTGAGTAAAGAAGGCAGAGTAACAACAATAGGTAAGGTGAAGAAGCTAGAGTAAGGGAAAGTGGGATGCAGGAAGCAAGGGAGGGAACCGGTTCTCTCCAGTAAGAGGCTGAGAGCGCACAATAGGACTAAAGATGACGAGTCCATCCAACGAAGCCTTGCCATACGTTTCTCGCGGGTTGTGTCTGTGTATGTATTAACACGATGTACTGAACGGGGTGAGAATAGCTTGAGCTACCTCATCCCTTTGTGTGTATTTTACCTCAATAAACTTATTTCAATTTCATTTCTCGCGGGGTAGAATTAAACAAAAAGCCTAGTATTACAAGAGCGAATATCATCGATTTGTTGCACTGGCAATCAACAAGATGCAAGGAATCCAATGTGCAACTTATCTAAACAAGACACATTAAAAATGAAAAACCTGTCTATCACAGCTATCCTAACCAGCTGATTTGAGTTGGCATGACTGAATACACACACGCTTGATTGATTGATAAAGATTAAGCCACCCAAAAGGTGGCACGGGCATGAATAGCCCGTAAGTGGTGGCCCTTTTGAGCCATTACCAGTATCAATAGATGATACTGGAGATCTGTGGAGGTGCGACTGCACCCTGCGTGACGGGAGATGTCTCCCGTGACACACACGCTGTTACCCCTTGTCTATATATACGAGGGGTTACAGAGTGCAGGTCAGGAGGTAGGCTGCTACCCGAGACTGGTGGGATGGGTATAGGTGTGTGTGAGGTCGATAGAGATGGAAGGGGGAGGGGGGGGGGCGTCTTCCCCTTCCACATTCACCAGGACAGAGCTGTTCAACACTTTAGAAGAGACGGTGATGTCATAGTACACAAAGTTAGTTCGAGTGGATATATGTTGAATTTTGCGTGTTCATTTCTTACGCAATTCATGCCGCCAGCGACGGTTAGTTTATTGTGCACCTCATACTCATCCTGTGAGCGTTAGTTTACCGAGCACCCCTTATTCATCCTGTGAGCGTTAGTTTACCGAGCACCCCTTATTCATCCTGTGAGCGTTAGTTTACCGAGCACTCTTTATTCTTCCCGTGAGTATTAGAGTATTGTCTCATATGACCATGACTCACATGCAAATGACTCACATACTGCATGTACACATGACTTACAGCATATACTCATGACTCATACTGCATGTTCATATGACTCACATGTTACACGGGTATAGTGTGTGTAGTAATACATGCCTCGGACATAAGCTCACTCCTGCTGGCACACGGGAACACACCACGTGTGTGTGTGTGTGTGTGTGTGTGTGTGTGTGTGTGTGTGTGTGTGTGTGTGTGTGTGTGTGTGTGTGTGTGTGTGTACTCACCTAGTTGTACTCACCTAGTTGTGTCTGCAGGATCGAGCATTGACTCTTGGATCCCGCCTTTCGAGCATCGGTTGTTTACAGCAATGACTCCTGTCCCATTTCCCTATCATACCTGGTTTTAAAATTATGAATAGTATTTGCTTCCACAACCTGTTCCTGAAGTGCATTCCATTTTCCCACTACTCTCACGCTAAAAGAAAACTTCCTAACATCTCTGTGACTCATCTGAGTTTCAAGCTTCCATCCATGTCCCCTCTATGTGTGTGTGTGTGTGTGTGTTTTTACTATTTGTATCTGCAGAATCGAGTTATTAGCTCTCGGACCCCGCCTTTCTAACTAATTTATTTTACCCCTATTATGTCTACTACATATATTTCTCTCTTAACACACACACACACACCTCCAGGAAGCAGCAGCCCGTAGCAGCTGTCTAACTCCCAGGTACCTATTTACTGCTAGGTGCACAGAGTCATTAGGTGAAAGGAAACGTGCCCAGCCATTTTTGTCCTGCCCTGGATCCTCGATTATGAGTCGAGAACGTAAACCACTATGCTAGAGGACCCTAAACACAAACCTCGTGAGCCGAGTCCTAAAGTCCGAGTTATATATATATATATATATATGCGAACAAGCCTGAATGGTCCCCAGGACAATATGCAACTGAATATTGAATATGCAATATGCAACTGAAAATATATATATATATATATATATATATATATATATATATATATATATATATATATATATATATATATATATATATATATATATATATATATATATATATATATATATATATATATATATATATATATATATATATATATATATATATATATATATTTATATAATTTATTTTAATAACATTGTGGTCCCCAACCGGGGGGGGGGGTCGCCCCCCCCCCTTTGGGGATCTATTGAGTATTAGAGTATGTTCCAAAAAAAGTGTGGGCACCGCCATAATAATATATTCCATTATATAATAGATTTGCATCCAATAATATAGTGACAAGTTATCCAGTTAATTGTATGGTGTCTCCTCTCTCATGAACAAATATTGTATTCGAATCCTGTTCTTGTACGTTTTTATGTTCCGTTTAAATGATCTAAGCATTTTCGTGGTCGTCTTGCATAGAATTTATTGCAAGCTTTACAAGGGATTTGATTTATACCTCTTACAGTTATCAGGTTTATTTTTAGTGCGATATATTGTATGGTATGTTAAAAATGGCAAGTATGCAATGCAAATAAGACGGACTTAAAATATAGAGCTCCTTCTCGAAGGAAGTGTGGAATTACGCCACATCTAAGGTATTCAAGAGTAATGTTAAGTTCCTAATTAATCAACAGTACCTCATTATAGTACCCGCAGCTATCACTCCCTGTCCGTGTATCAAACAACTTACCATCCTTATATCCCTACTCTTAATCTCCATGCATTTCATGCAGTAACAACGGTATTTTATATTCCGTTTTTAACTTTGTGCCAACACCACGAATCCTGAGGCCAGATTCACGAAGCAGTTACACAAGTACTTACGAACGTGTACATCTTTCCTCAATCTTTGATGGCTTTTGTTTCATTTATTAAACAGTTTACAAGCATGAAAACTTCCCAATCAACTGTTGTTATTGTTATAAACAGCCTCCTGGTGCTTCGGGGCTCATTAACTGTTCAATAATTGTAAACAAAGCCGTCAAAGATTGAGGAAAGATGTTCACATTCGTAAGTACTTACGTAACTGCTTCGTGAATCTGGCGCCTGGAGTCTTGAAAGCTATTGGAAATTTCACTTACTCTCTAAACTAGTTTCTAACTTTATCAGTTTAAGTTCAGTTCATTTATTTAGCACCCTGTACCCATTCTGTGTATAGTGGTCAAGGTTACAGAAGCACATAATGGGCTCGGGAACTGTACCCCATCAGCAGAACATGTACCCCATACATTCATTTAGCTAAGCAAGTTACAGACTTGATAAGCTAGTTAGTTTAATGTATACATCAGCAATGGGGTTCAAGAACGACCACAACTACAGTCTCTAAGCTTTCATTTGCGGCAAGCGAGTTTCATAATTAGATTTGTTTATCATGCAAACCGCCCGCCATCTAGTGGGCGACGTTGGAAAGGTTACAATCGCTCACTTAATTCATCACCAGTATAAATGTTCATTGCCACCACCTTTTCCTTCTAAATCTGGAAAACTTATTAACATATTGATATGAAGCTTTCAAAATAAGTAGAGAAGGTAAAGCAAAACTTTGAGATACCTACAAGACAATATTAATGTAGCCTCATCAAAATATCTTGACCAGAATAAAATATACTCGATGCCAAACTATATAATCTTAGTAATGCTATTTTCCAATAGATGCCATTAATTGTTTTTTTTTTGCAAGGACTGTTAAATATATTTAAATTTTAAATGTCTTAAAAGCATACATTATCAAGATCATCAAGGCAAATGGGGGTGGACCTTCGACAAGCCCCCGGCTTACTGTCCTCATGGAGGCGACTAGTGCTAGTGGTCCTCAGGTAAAACTCATGTATTATTAATGTGTAAATATGAATCATAACCAATCATAATCTTGTATCTTTTCCCCCTAGGTGAAAACGCCAGCAACAGAGATTCATTTTTGTTCCTACGCAAGGAGCTGCCAGTTCGACTAGCAAACATCATGAAGGAATTCCACCTGCTGCCGGAAAAACTCCTTCATATGCCGTCAGTGTGTGCTGTGAGGGACCTCTACCGTATGAGTTTTATGGACCTTCTCGAGTTTGAAAAAGGCAGTTCCTCCAATTCCAACATTCTTGAAAAGTAATAATTTAAGAGACTCGGCAAAAGCCTACTAACTCATCTGCGACTCGGAAGCCTGGGGCCAGATTCACGAAGCAGTTACACAATTACTTATGAACGTGTACACCTTTCCTCAATCTTTGACGGTTTTGGTTACATTTATTAAACAGTTTACATGCATGAAGACTTCCCAATCAATTGTTGTTATTGTTATAAACAGTCTTCTGGTGCCTCGGAGCTTATTAATTATTTAATAATTGTAAACAAAGCCGCCAAAGATTCAGAAAAGATGTACAGGTTCGTAAGTGTTTGCGTAACTGCTTCATGAATCTGGCCCCTGTATTGTGCCACCCCCCTCTTCCTTCACTAGGATACATTGGTACATGCTGTTAACAAAAAATTCATGCCACCAAACTTGCAGGGTGATTGATAGGTATAGGGTGACGGTGATATCTTGATTGATTGATGAAGATTAAGCCACCCAAGAGGTGGCATGGGCATGAATAGCCCGTAAATCGGTGCCCCATGTCACCCGAGCTCTTATAGTCGACTCTAGTTGGAAGGTTACAAGGAGCAGCAAGGAGGACAATGTGTAGTGAGGGGGTAGTTATAAACATGGTCGTGTGTAGTGTAGGTGGTTACAGTGATAACGGTCGTGAGTAGTATAGATGGTGATAATTGTGTGAAGATAATGTCATTGATAATGGTTACGTGTTAAAACTTGCGTAATTACCTAAGTGTAGTTACAGGATCAGGTCTACGCTCGTGGTGTCCCGTCTTCCCAGTACTCTTTGTCAAATAATGCTTTGAAACTACTGACGGTTTGGGCCTCTGTGTGTATGTGGTGGAATATTTTGGTATATATTTTAGTATATGGAGAGAGATGGAGGGAAAGACTTTACTTTAATTTACCAAACATTAATTTACGTTTATCGGTACTGCAACTTCTGATTTCCAATCTTGTTTAATGGTAAAGTAATGATGTGAAGAAAGCACTAAAACAGGGATATGACTATATAGCCATCTTGTTTTAAAGCTTAACTTTCGCTTGTGATCTACTTATTTTTTAATTATTAAAATACAGCTAACACTATTTCAAAGTAGCAACACCACTGCACTGTATTTATTGACATTTGCTCCGCAGGTTCACCGACACATTAATCAAAATACGCAATCGCCACATGGACGTGGTGACGACGATGGCGCAGGGCGTGATGGAGCTAAAGGATGCTCACTCCATCAACGCCAACACCGAGAGCAATATTCAGTACTTTCTTGACAGATTCTACATGAACCGTATTTCCGTCAGAATGCTTATCAACCAGCACAGTAAGTATTCCTGTTACACTACACGTCTACGATCTTCATATCATGAGATGCAATATTGAAGAATTAACAACTGCACCATGAAAATTTTGCCCAAAACAGGTGCGCAGTGCAGGGGTTAATACTGAATGTACTGTACTGTATAGCACATTTTCATTTACAAAATCAGATCATGTTGAATGCCATTATTGATAATTAAATATAATAGCAATTCAAATGAATTAAAATACAGTATATTCAAGTGTTGTACGAACACAGTACTGAAATTAGATGTCAACACTTCTAATTGTCATTATTAGTTGACCAGACCACACACTAGAAAGTGAAGGGAAGACGACGTTTCGGTCCGCCCTGGACTATTTTCAAGTCGACTGGGAGAATGGTCAATCACAATCGTCTTGAGAATGGTCCAGGACGGACCGAAACGTTGTCGTCCCTTCACCTTCTAGCGTGTGGTCTGGTCAACTTACTTTAGCCACGTTATTGTGACTCATCGCCTGCATTGTCATTATTATTTTCAATATTTCAGCAATACTTTTTGGCGAAGGTGTCAATGCACAGAACCACATTGGTTGTATAGACCCCCACTGTGACGTTGTCCGTGTAATAGAAGATGCCTACTCTCATACCCGCTTTCTTTGTGACCAATATTACCTTGCCTCTCCAGAACTAGTCCTCAAGTATCATCAAGGTAAGTATTATAATGGAGTTTGTTTTAGAAGCTCCAAATGCCTATATATATATCCAGTTACAGCCCCGCTCCTGTGCCAGGTAAGTCCACGACGGGCTCACGATAGCCCGTGCTACTTGGAACGTTCTGTTCAGAATACCTGAATCTAAAACAACACAACAACCAATTGATATTGGTAAGTTTATTTACAGGAACTTACATTGGGCCTTGGAACACTCGGTGTACACATTCAGTACATTCATATTACTTCGACAAGCCACCGGCTTCCTGTCCTCGTCGAGGCCACTAGGGTTAGTGGCTCTCAGGTAAATATTAGTACAGCAGGTTGCTGTACTATAGTTTCGTTAATATGGACACTGTAATAATTTAGGTACAGGTACAGTCTCACCAAGCCCAGGAATTATAGTTAACTAGGAATTATAGGCAACCAGTGCGAGTTACATCCTAGGAAAGGTCAGTAGTTGTCCTAGCAGACCTTGATAAGTTAGACAAGCTTCCTGTCACCGACAATGGGAAACCAGACGATTGATTCCTATTATACACATAACCAAAAAGAAGTTAAGAGTTCCTGCTCTCATAATTGTCATTTTCATAGCAAACGGCGCCATTCGTTTGTATGCGCTCCGTTTCATACGCCAGCAGTATGTAAACATACGCCAGCAGTATGTAAACATACGCCAGCAGTATGTAAACATACGCCAGCAGTATGTAAACATACGTCAGCAGTATGTAAACATACGCCAGCAGTATGTAAACATACGTCAGCAGTAGGTAAACATACGCCAGCAGTAGGTAAACATACGCCAGCAGTAGGTAAACATACGCCAGCAGTATGTAAACAAACGCCGGTAGTAGGTAAACATACGCCAGCAATATGTAAACATACGCCAGCAATATGTAAACATACGCTAGTATTCGATCCCTCGATCGTCATGGCCCCTCAACCAACAACATGTGTTATTATAAGTATTAATGTCAGTAACCAAGCAATGGCTTTATCTTGTATATCCACCTTACAACCAAGGCCATTCACACCAACACACAACACCACAATAATGTTTAATAACTTTAAATTTATTCTTAGCATTTCTTGTTGTTTTTTCATGCTGATACTACACTGGCTATATCCAGGATTTATGCAAAGGGGTCCGTCCATAATTACAACTAATATCCTTTGCCGCATTTCTACTAAAAGGTGGCAAAGGATAACTAATAAATGTCTACACATAAGGGACATAACTGGCCGTCCCCTCACAGTGTTCAAGAGAGAACTGGATAAGCACCTCCAAAGGATACCTGATCAACCAGGCTGTGACTCATACGTCAGGCTGCGAGCAGCCGCGTCCAACAGCCTGGTTGATCAGTCCGGCAACCAGGAGGCCTGGTCGACGACCGGGCCGCGGGGACGCTAAGCCCCGGAAGCACCTCAAGGTAACCTCAAGGTAGGTCCGTAGAATTACCCAAAGCCACAGAAAGTTAGCCAGAGCCAAACAAAACTACCCAAAGCCTGCTAGCATTATGTAAGTAATGAAGATATATGGTATATTTATTCACTATAATGTTGGCACTCAATGCAGAACATGATCAAACCTATTTTTCCTCTGAAATAATCAAATTTCTTAAGGAAATTAGATGTAAATATGTAGCAGGTGATGCCATAGGAAGTTGACAATCCAAGTGACAATGTTGTAGAGCGACTTGTCCAAGATATATTGTCGCCTAGAGTGCGTTTGCTGGCATATCAGCCTTCTGTACACAGTGACCCAGTTTAGCTTTGGGTAGCTTTGGGTAATTATACGGACCCCACGTATAGCCATCTCCATCACTGCTCACACACACTCACCACACCCATACTACTCGGAAACCCTCCTCCCTTTCTCTGCAACTTTAAAAACCAGTTATAATATAAACCAGTTAAAATATAAATTGCATAACTATGAACTCTTGCCTTCAGAATGCAGTATAGTACACTAAAATGCAATGACTTTATTTTACTATGAATATATTTAATACTTTAATAAAAATGTTTGCACTGGAACACACATTTGGTACAGAATAAATAGTATTTGATGGTTTAGATATCTTTTCTATTGCTTATACTAATGCCTTATGATGACCAGTGACTTGGATAAATGGATTAGCTAAGTATCTGTTATAAAATTTATACCTGAAAAAATAATAATGTACTTAAGCTGTTAAAGACTTCTTATCTTTTCCAAGGGTAAGTCTGTGGTCATGTGGCTCGTGTGTGGTGTTCAGTAGCAATAATCATAGAATACAGTACTTGTTCACTTGCACCCACAGAACAGGACAAGGCAACAAGAACGATAAAAGAAGCTGGTGCGCCAGGTACTGTATTGCTTTTGTACTCTCTAACCAATATTTGCATGTTTTATGTAACCAGCTTTGAGTTACAGTATTTATTTAACTAGATATAAGAGTACCACCTTTGGCGCAATTGTAGGGACCCACAACCTTGGAGAAGAGAATAAAAGCATTAACATTTAGGAACAAAGTTTCATACATGTAAATAGCACAAGAGAATGCATGGAGTGGATGTTCAGCATGTTTAGGGATTTAAACCGAGAGGGCTTTGTGTTGTCTGAAGACAGAGTTTGTTATAGTTCTAATAGCAAATTTGTGCTGGGTGATGGGCTCTTAAGTACTCTTAAGGTGATTTGCAGTGGTTGAACCCCATGCACAGATACCATATGTTAGACAGGGATAGATTTAAATGTCAAAACTCTGTTAACATTTACAGTACAGCTGAAAAAAATCAAGGCAAATGGGGGGACCTTCGACAAGCCACCGGCTTCCTATGCTCATCGAGACCACTAATGTTAGTGGCTCTCAGGTAAACTCGGGTAAAATTAGCGAGTAGTACAATGAGAGGAGAGCAGAGTGGGGGAACATAATACAATATCTGATTTTAGAGAGTATTCCGACAGTTTTGACTTTTTTTTTTTTGGGGGGGGGGGCTATGTGTTGGCTGTGGGTGCTGAAGTTTAGTCTCTTATCTATGTATAGGCCAAGGAACTTTCCACCATTTTTATTGCTAATGTTAATATTATCAATCTGAAGTTGAATATGGTTTGATGATTTACTTTCAAATAAAATGTAGTAGGTCTTTTCTATGATTAGTGTAAGTTTGTTGATTGACATCCATGAGTCAACCTTTTTAATTCATTATTTACACTGTTATTTAGTGTGTATGGGTTGGAGTCTGAATAAAAGTAGCATTGTCAACAAATTCCCCAGCAGTCCCTGCGGTGTAGTGGCAAGACACTCGCCTACCGTTTTGCGAGCGCTTTGTCCTGGGTTCATATCCTGGCCGGGGAGGATTTACCGGGCGCAAATCTTTAACTGTAGCCTCTGCTTAACCCAACAGTAAAATGGGTACCTGGTTGTTAAACGATTTGGCAGTTCGTATTCCAGGGAACATAGGATTAAGGACTTGCCCGAAATGCTATGCATGCTAGTGGCTATACAAGAATATATATACAGTATATATATATATATATATATATATATATATATATATATATATATATATATATATATATATATATATATATATATATATATATATATATATATATATATATATATATATATATATATATATATATATATATATATATATATATATATATATATATATATATATATATATATATATATATATATATATATATATATATATATATATATATATATATATATATATATATATATATATATATATATATATATATGTCGTACCTAATAGCCAGAACGCACTTCTCAGCCTACTATTCAAGGCCTGATTTGCCTAATAAGCCAAGTTTTCATGAATTAATGTTTTTTCGTCTACCTACCTAACCTAACCTAACCTAGCTTTTTTTGGCTACCTAACCTAACCTTACCTATAAATATAGGTTAGGTTAGGTTAGGTAGGGTTGGTTAGGTTCGGTCATGTATCTACGTTAATTTTAACTCCAATAAAAAAAAATTGACCTCATACATAATGAAATGGGTAGCTTTATCATTTCATAAGAAAAAATTAGAAAAAATATATTAATTCAGGAAAACTTGGCTTATAAGGCAAATCGGGCCTTGAATAGTAGGCCAAAAAGTGAGTTCTGGCTACTAGGTACGACATATATATATATATATATATATATATATATATATATATATATATATATATATATATATATATATATATATATATATATATATATATATATATATATATATATATATATATATATATATATATATATATATATATATATATATATATATATATATATGTTTAAGAATGTTTAGAGACATTTGGCAAATCATTGATGTATACTATATAAGAGATAGGAGAGGTCCTACGATGCTGCCCTGTGGCACTCTATTATTATTGGTAAAGTGGGGGGAAGGTTATATCATTGGTGGATTTGGATTTCATGACTATGTTCCTTTATGACTTTACTTCATCCTCATGGTTTCCTACCTTGTGCTTCAAACTAACACTGTGCCTTGTGCTACTCACTTACCCAATTTTAGTACTAAGACATGCAACATCACCAGTATAATCAATAGTACTATCAATTTATAGTGTAGTTATTATGTTGAACTTAAATTTTGCTACAACGTACCTATTATATACAGTATTACCATTATCAGTTAGATTAAGGACCTGCCCAAAACTTTCTGCAATGCCTTGATGAAAAGATCATCAAAGCAGAATGGGAGGGGGGACCTTTGACAAGCTGCCAGCTTTCTATCCTCGTCGAGGACATTAGTGTTAGTGGCTCTCAGGTAAACTCAAGTAAACTTAGGTTATGTACTCTGACAACCCAGTGTACCTTCCTGTATATAAATAAGTAAATAGAACATAACCTTCTGAGGGATTTCACAAAAGCATGCTCTTTCCTAAGTTGTGCTATACAACTTGTATATACTGTGTGTGTGTGTGTGTATTCACCTAGTTGTGTTTGCGGGGGTTGAGCTTTGCTCTTTCGGCCCGCCTCTCAACTGTCAATCAACTGTTTACTAACTACTTTTTTTTTCCACACCACACACACACACACACTCCAGGAAGCAGCCCGTGACAGCTGACTAATTCCCAGGTACCTATTTACTGCTAGGTAACAGGGGCATTCAGGGTGAAAGAAACTTTGGCCATTTGTTTCTGCCTGGTGCGGGAATCGAATCCGCGCCACAGAATTACGAGTCCTGCACACTATCCACCAGTCAACCAGGCCCCCTGCGATATTGTGTGTGTGTGTGTGTGTGTGTGTGTGTGTGTATATATATATATATATATATATATATATATATATATATATATATATATATATATATATATATATATATATATATATATATATATATATATATATATATATATATATACTGTATATATATATGCTGTATATGAATGAGAATATCAGTACAGTATTAAAAATTTGATGTACAGTACAGTATTCTACATTTTGAATACATAAGTACATTACAGCTTATGAACGAGCATGCTTTTGCAAAGTCCCTCAATAGGTTATGTTCTATTTTAATTGATTTAATTTATATAGAACATTATAATAATTATAATTCATTGTGTCGGGAGATAAGCAGCCAGAGTGTATTCATACACGTTAGGCTTATATCGAGGCTCCCCCCCCCCAGGTCAAATTACTGACCCCTCCCAGAATGCAAGCCCACAACAAGCTGATTAATTCCTGAGTACCTACTTACTGCTAGGTGAACAAAGGCATTAGATGATAGGAAATGCGCCCAACCATTTCTGTCCCGCCCAGGATTCGAACCTGGAATTATCACTTGTGAGTCGAGAACACAACTAACTGTACTATCAAAACCCTTTTTGTTTGATTTAGAAATTAGTATGAAATTGAACTAGACTTAGATATCTCAATCTTTTATGTCAAAAAGCATACTTATCTTTCAAGAATTTAGAGCTAACTGGAGGGCACTTACTTTAAAGCCAGAAAGAGCTATGATATAGTTCTCAGGTACAAATTATATATATATATAATATATATACACACACACATTTTTAGAGGTATTTTGTGTGTTAATAAACACTAAACATGAATTCCTAGTATTCTCACTGATCTCCCATATGCTATAATACAGTGTACAAGTAGCTAATTAAAAGTATATTCTTTCCAGTGGATAAAACCCCTGCATCAGTTGTATATGTGCCCTCTCATCTGTATCACATGCTGTGTGAACTCTTCAAGAACAGCATGCGTGCTGTTGTTGAGCATCATGGTCCTGGTGCTGACGTGTTTCCTCCTTTAGATGTGCTTCTAGTCATGGGGCATGAAGATATTACTATTAAGGTATGTATTATATGGGCAGCAGCAAGGGTCTTTGGATTCTTTATTGTGGTGCTCACGTTTTTCTTTTGATTCTGGGATACTTATTCCCTTACAGAGTGGAGAATTGTTGATCAGTAGCCCCGTCGAGTAGGGAATTGTTTAGTAGCTCGGTTGGGTAGGGAATATTTCTTCAGTAGCTCGGTTGGGTAGGGAATAAACATTGCATTGCATAGAAAATCACTGAATCCTGTCAAGTATGTCATCAATTTATCCAATGCAATATTCAGATTGTTATTTACAAAGATTTTCAACCCACTGCATCTCTGGGTCGACCCCAACCGACCCCGACCCCAATGCAATGGGTCGGAAATCAGTACTGTAAGTATGGGAAGCTTGTCTGATCACATATGATGTGTAAGATTATATTAGGTGGTGAAAGGGTGATCATACCTTACACAAGAATTCAAGATGTAAAAATGATGAAAGCTGAGAAGTTTAGTTCAGACAGAACTGGTAAATGACTATAAGAGGCAAGAGACCTGACTTTACCTGAGGGCCACTAGCACTCTAGTGGTCTCGCTGAAGATAGGATGCTGGGAGCTTGTCAAAGGTTTTCCCTATTTGTCGTGATGATTTTTTCTAGCTGGATTTTAAATATTCAACAGTTTTAGTATTTAGGGCTTCCACAGGTAGGCAGTTCCACGAGTTTATAACCCTGTGGGTGAAAAAAGCATCTCCTGTTTCCAGTCCTACATTGTGGCTTCTTGAGCTTGAAACTGTTGTTCCTTGTTTGTGTTACAATTGACCTTTTGAAAAAGTTGTCTGGATCAGCAGCCTCCATATTGTTCTGAGCATTATTTTGAAAGTTTCAATGAGATCACCCCCGTCATGCCTGGTTTGCAGTGTTGTTAAGTATGAACAAATACATCTTAATGCCATGTTTACCTGATGCATACTGTAGAATAAGTGTTTGGTTAAGAATACAAAAGAAGAGCGAATAGTTACCTAAACTCTGGGAAAATCTTATTACTTTTCAGTTGAGTGACCAAGGTGGTGGTGTCCCCCGAAGCCAGATAGACCAACTCTTCAATTACATGTACTCCACAGCCCCACAACCAGCCGTTTCAGGACTGGATACTCCACCCTTGGCTGGTTATGGTTACGGCCTTCCTCTCTCAAGACTGTATGCTCGCTATTTCCATGGAGATCTGATGCTAGTATCATGCGAAGGTTATGGAACAGATGCCATAATTTTCTTAAAGGTATAAAATTCAGTCATGCCAACAATTTACTTTGTAGACAAAAAATCTGATATTATTATTATCCAATATCTTATTTCATGGTCAAAGGCACAATTATCAATTCAAATTTGTCATAACATCTTTCATTTTTTCAATTGATGATCCTATTCATCTTTTTATTTTATCTATTTACTCTAACATATATTTTCATGTTAGAAAATAACAAATCTTGTCTTCTGTTCTGCATTTGAAGTATACATTGATAATAAGCTACATTTATGAATTGCTTGTATTCAACATTACCGAGGGTTCATTCTCGACACACAATCGAGAATTCCGGGTTCGAATCCCGGGCGGGACAGAAATGGTTGGGCACGTTTCCTTTCACCTAATGCCTCTGTTCACTGAGCAGTAATTAGATATTAGGAGTAAATCAGCTTGTTGTAGGATTGCATCCTGAGTGGGCTCAGTAATTCGGGCTGGGAAGGGGGGGTAAAACCTCGATAAAAGCCAAAATGTATTTGAATATACTCTGGCTCAGTAATTCGGCCTGGGAAGGGGAGGGGAGGACCTCGATAAAAGCCAAAATGTGTTTGAATATACTCTGGCATCCTGTCCCCCCAACACAATGGGTTATTTAAGTCATCTCATAGTGTTGTTTTCTTTCAGGCACTTTCAAGTGAAGCCAATGAACTTCTTCCAGTGTACAACAAGACTTGTCAGAGACAGTATTCAACACCTGTTCAAACACATGATTGGTCCTCGCAGTCACATTCAGCTATGTTCATTCGGCCATTTTCCACCAACTCCCGGGACAAACTTCATCAAAGAAAGATTAGTTCTGTGCCAGATAATGAACCCACTGTTTCGTAGTAGAAATATACCTCTTATCCGGATGGGAAATAACATTCAGTATAGTATACAGTAATTTGTATGAAATTTCTATTTTACAAATGTGTAGTATATAGTCTGAAGAATGTTGGAAAGAGAAAATTACATTTTCCACGCTTGTGTTGAGAAAATACAATATAGTTTACTTAGGTACAGTATATTGATATACATAATGCATATACATATAATGTATATACATTATAATTGCCTCAAACTCATTTGCTTTTAGACATAATTTTTCCTTGACCAAAGAGATTGTTTTTCCTAAAAGTTCTGTAGATGCAGAAACACTGGTTAATTGTTTTAGGCATATCATATGATTTGATAAAAATAGTGAAGATTACATGTATTGCATAATATAACATTAATGCTCATATTTTATTTGCTGTCTTCTTAAGAAAGTAATTAATGCATCATTAACCCTTAAATGGCTCCAATTACTGTGATTACCTCTTGTGCTTGAGTTGTCAAATGAGATTTTATGGGCCAATTAAATTTTAAATGTCCCTAGTAATGCCATAAATTCCAAAACTTTTGAATTTTAAAATCAAGCTAGAAAAATTCATCAGGACAAATGGGGGAGGACATTTGTCAAGTTGCCGGCTTCCTGTCCTTGTCAAGGCCACTAGTTAGTGGCCTTAGGATAAATTCAGGTAAATAATGAGTCCTTCCTTGGGTTGCAGTGGTATCCCAAAGTGGCTTACCCTGTGGTGCTGTGGTAAGACACTCGCCTCACATTTCGCGAGTGCTTTGGCCTGGGTTCGTATCCTGGCCGGGGAGGAGTTACTGGGCGCCAATCCTTAACTGTAGCCTCTGTTTACCCAACAGTAAAATGAGTACCTGGTTGTTAAACGATTTGGTGGGGTCGTATTCTGGGGAATATTAGGATTAAGGACTTGCCTGAAAAGCTGTGTGTGCTAGTGGTTGTACTAGAATGTAAGAACTCTTGTATATATAAATAAATAAAAATAAATAAATAAATAGTGGCTGGTATTACAGTAGTAACATAACAGGTGGCTGGAGGCATGGCAGTGGTGTGTGACTCTCCCGGAGCCTCATTTTCACTCCCAAGCGACAACACAAAATTGTGCATGGAGACACTACTGATACTACTCCCTAATGTTAATGTGGACATGGCACACATACAAGTAGAGCTTCATTTGCTAAGATATGTCATAGCGAGAGTGGTGACAAGCACTGTGGTAGTGGTGGGGTAGAGCAGCAGCTCCAGTTACATTGGCTTGGGAATGTGGGGACAGTTTTGTTCCAAATATCCTTAACTTTGATGGTACCCATGTCAGGGGTCGGCTGGTCGGCCGAGCGGACAGCACGCTGGACTTGTGATCCTGAGGTCCTGGGTTCGATCCCAGGCGCCGGCGAGAAACAATGGGCAGAGTTTCTTTCACCCTATGTCCCTGTTACCTAGCAGTAAAATAGGTACCTGGGTGTTAGTCAGCTGTCACGGACTGCTTCCTGGGGGTGGAGGCCTGGTCGAGGACCGGGCCGCGGGGACTCTAAAGCCCTGAAATCATCTCAAGATAACCTCAAGATAGGGGGTGACCGTGATGAGAAATATTAACTATTTTACAGGGTACTGTATTTTGATGAAGGGCTTGTGGACCACATGGTGTGTGAGACTAATTTATAGGCCAACGAAACAATGAAAACTGGGGATTTACCACCTCATTCATGTCAACAGGAGACAAATATCCATAAAATGTACACTGTTCTTGTACTGAGCATATTGATGCTACATTTACAGAAACATGTACTGTCTGATTACTGGAGCATGAACACTGCTCCTCTGACCCCCCTTGATCAGCAGGTACATATCACAAGACATTTGTCAGTCTTTTCAGGTGTCTACATTTTACAGATACACTCCAATGACACATGATAAAATGGATAAATTGTGGAAAATGAAGCACATGATTGCAGATTGAACGCAAAGTACAACAAATTATATGTACCTCCACTGAAGGTTGTAATTGATGAATCACTTGTGCTGTTCAAAGGGACATGTATAGTTCAAACAGTACATATTGTACCTTCAAAACTTCCCAGGTTTGGTCTGAAAATATTTGCGTTGTGTGATTGTGAGATAGAGCTTGTGGGTGACATGATCCTCTATTTTGGGACCAATGTGGATGTTGCAAAAGATAATCACCATGTTTATTCCAAGTGTTGTGGTGACCCACTATTGCACAGAGATACATTTTGTACACCAATAGTTATTACACCAGTCTACATGGTGTACAAGTCTTTGTTAAACAGTCCCTGTGGCGAAGTGGTAAGACACTCGCCTCATGTTTCTTGAGTGTTTTGGCTAGATTCGTATCCTGGCTAGGGAAGAATTTACTGGGCGCCAATCCTTAACTGTAGCCTCTGTTTACCCAACAGTAAAATGGGCAGTTAAACGATTTGGCGGGTCGTATTCTGGGGATTTTAGAATTAAGGACGTGCCCGAAGCACTATGCATACTAGTGGCTGTACAAGAATGTACGAACTCTTGTATATATAAACAAACAAATAAATACATCTAGCCAAGTACTCGCTGGAGCATATTACAAATACTGGTATGTGGCACAGTGAAGGCAGGCAGGAAAGAAATGTCTGTGTTTCACTCTCCAGCAGTGCAAGAGGCAACAGCCTACGTGAAGACTTTGTAAGAACAAAGAGCATAGAGAAAAGAAATGATGATTGGTGGCAACAATTTGTAAAGTGTGCAATGTTCCACTGTGCATAAAAGGATGATGTAAATATTTATGTGGTATGAATATGTAACGTTAATTCCACTATCTTGACACGAGTTCATTTCACACCCACACAAAAAAATATAAACATAAATAGAAAAAATAACTTTATTACAATGCTGCAACACAAGCATGGGAAGGGTGGCAGTCAGTAGACACTTAGAGCAACCAGTGCCAGTACTCATCCACCCAGCTTACAAAATGGTATGACAACACACAGATTTCAACCCTTCATTACACCCAAAAAACCAGGAGATTTTTTTTAATGTTTTCCAAAACATCACCGACTCATTTTAATGATATAAAAAAAAATTTGAATTTTGGTTTCATGTGCACCATAATGTAGGAGTTTTAATTAGCCGAGCCATTTAAGGGTTAAAGTACTAATAATTAGTTTAAAATTGGCAGCTTCTTGGTATAATGAGACAATGAGTGTCCATAAGATCTCCCTATATTTATGTAGTGAATTGTTTGGTAAACAGACTTTTCTCTTGAAATCTATTTAAGTACAACACCTTGAAATTATGTAAGTTTTCCTTAGCACGTTATTTATTATATGACATGACCACGTATCTAATTAACTTTATTCTGGTATAAGCTGATTTTGTTTTAGCACTTTATGTTGGGTCATCAAGCAAAGCAGTCACCATTATAAAAGTTATTTGGGTTGAAACGTAAACTGTGTTTAAATAGTTATTGAATTTTGTGCCATTTAGTTTAGGTATTTCCCATTGTCATGAACAGGAAGCTTATTAGACTTATCAATGCTCCCCCCCCCCAACCTCTCTAGAAGGAAAAATGTGCCCAAACATCTTCCTATGTGGGAACTGAACCTGGATCCCTTTGGTTGTGAACCAACGCATTGACCAGCGTGCCACAGTGTATATTCTTATTTAAATAATTATTGTAAATAAATATACAGTGTAGTCTCGAAAATCTATATTAATTGGTACCAGACCCATTCCGAACTTTGATAATTTTTATTATTTTTTTTTAAATTTTGGGGGCTTACGAAACTGATAGAAGGCATATTTTTGTGTGTTTACACCCTCAAATGTTATAAGCAAGGATATTTATAATATAATAATATATACAGATATAATAATTTAATTCTGTACAGTACTTGCCATTTTGTTAAGATCAGTTTTGTCATTGTACACTGCCTCATTAAACTCACCAAAATTTGTACCACTAAGCATTTTTCTCTGATTTGTAGCTGGCCACCTTCAGGTTATCTTAATCTCTTAGGTTGTCTTAAGGCATTGTGACCATTGTGAGCTTTGATAGTCTAATCATCTCAAAATACGCAGACAGTTGGGCACTGAAACTATTGGTAATTAATTCGTAAGAGGAACCCATAGTTGGCATCAAGACCACTGCTGGTTAGACAGTGATGTTTTTGGCCTCAGAGTATAGTGTTGACTAAGGCTGTATATACTGCTGAGAGAGAGACAGAGATGGAAAGAGAGAGATAGAAAGAAAAGTGGAAAGAGAAATGGAGAGAGAGAGGGAGATAGAGATGGAAAGAGAGAGATAGAAAGAGAGAGATGGAAAGAAAAGTGGAAAGAGAAATGGAGAGAGAGAGGGAGATAGAGATGGAAAGAGAGAGAGAGAGAGATGGAGATGTTTTCCTGGTGAGGGTAAATATTCTAATGTTTTCAGATGGGCATTGATTACATTAAATTAAAAGAAAGCAATCAGAATAAACCAGAGAGCATTAGCATGGAGTGGCTGAGAAGTGCAGACATAGCTGGCCCTGGTGCATGCCAGTGGTGTAGGAGAGTCGGAAAGTTTTTGTAGTGTTGAGTGACACATTACAGTACTGTTTTTTCTGTGGAAACAAAGCCACACCTTATTGAGAAACTGAGCAAGACATGACTTGTGTAGAAAACAAGCATAGTGGAGTTATTTATGCTAATATTGTCGTCACCATCATCAGAATGAAGGGGTATGAGAAGCTTAAGGTAGCAGGAGAGTAAGTGACCAATGATGTTGATGTTTATGATCTCAAACCAGTCAGAGGGCAGCAGAAACTGGCACAAGTGGTCTTTATGTGGTAATGGGTCTTTGCAGGCTGACACTGAAGACAAGAGCAAACCCAAGAGTACAGACTGGAACTGACCTCCAGCTGACCTCCAGCTGACCACTACTACTCACTCGGTCAGGTGGTGTGTGACATTGAACATCTGAGTGGTGAGGGACTTCAAGAGTATCAAGATCTTCCTGTTGATTGAACAGATTTGAAAATATTAATCCAGATTACTGTACCTCTTTAAAAAGTTCAATGTAACTCTCAAGAGGAAATGGCTTCAAGTCACACTGTGGGACAAACAACAGATGCTTTTTCATCCATAGTTTAATATAACCACAGAATTGTTTAGCCTAAATGCTAAGTTCAAAATCTAACTAGAAAAATCCTCAGGAATGAGCCAATCTTTGACCAGCTGCCAGCTTCCCTTCCCTGTCAAGGCCACTCGAGATAGCATCCCTCAGGTAAACTCAGGTAAACATGTCCTAACCTTCTCATCGGGGGCAGTGACGATTTTCTGAGGTGTCGTACACTGCATCCATTGTGAAAATAGGAAGGATGTACGAGTATCACGCAGCATCTTAAATGGCTTTTGTGCAGGGAGAACATGACCTACTGGAGTCAAATCTTAGGCGTGTCTAGGGATGCTGGAAGCTTGAGCAGCAACATATAGCGTTTGTTACTGGTGTTCAGACTATTTGAACTTGATAGGACTTGTATGAACTTGAAGTTCATACTGTCTATTTGATGTGCACAGGATGTGGGGAACATAATGCCAACTCTTAAAATCACCCGTGTCGTGTTAACTCATTATCTCTCAAGACAATGGGACTCGAGTGAGCTCAAGTAGTTTAGGCAACTTTATAAAATAGCCAGACATACTGTATGTGCACTGAAATACACAAACAATATATAATCATAATAAATTTTAGAGTGGTACAAATTAATTCATAAGAGGAAGACCTAGTCAGCATCAGGACACTGCTCTCAGAAAGCGGTGCTAGTGGCATCAGAATTCAACATTGTCTGAGAGGCTGTAGGTTCTGTCAAGAAGTAG